CCCTGGGCTCCCGTCCCCCGCCCCTGGACCCCTGTCTCCCACTGAACCCCTGTCCTCCCCTGGACTCCTGTCCCCCACTGGGCTCCCACCTCCCTCTGGACCTCTGTCCCCCACTGGACCCCTGTTCTCCTGCCTCCCACTGGGCTCCCGTCCCCCCCTGGGCTCCTGCCTCCCCCTGGACTCCTGTCTCCTCCTGGGTTCCTGTCTCCCACTAGACCCCTGTCCCCCACTGGACTCCTGTCCCCCACTGTCTTCCCACAGCCAGTCTGTGCCCTTCACCCCCAATCTTACTGTTGCTAAGAATTCTGTTGTTTTGACTGAAGAGTTATTTTTGGCGTCTCAGTATAGCAATTCACAAATATCCATTCATCTTAACATCTTGAGTTTACATACTATATGCAGGACAGAAAGGGTGATAATATGATGAAATAACCTTAATTATTTAATATGTATTTGGGGGTGGTGACAATTTCTACCTTACTTCTTAATCTCTATCATCCATCATACTTTGAGAAGTGGTGTCTTCCCCACATTATTTCATCCCAAATCCCCAAATAAGTTCTTGGTCTTTTCTTTGTAAAGTTTGATAACAGTGACAGAGTCTCCTTCATGAAACACACACACACACACCTCTCTCTCTCTGCACCCCCACCCCGTCCCCCTGCCATCACATAAAACTTCAGACAGTTGACAGGCCCTGTGAAGCCCATTTATGAACTTACAGTTCAGCAGCCTCAAAGGCTGCCAGGTTACTTTTTAAAAAAATAAAATGTACATAGTATAGATATAAACTTTTAAAAGATAGACCAGTATTTTCTTAATTTATTTTGGTGATGTAAGACAAGTAACAGTTTTAAAACCAAGTCATTTACTATCTGAGAACAGGCGCAGCCTTATGGTGTTTGAGAATCCACTTTTTAATTTACTCACCCTGCAGGATCTTTTTGCTTTAGGGGTTAAATGTGAAACTATAAACAGTCATTAAAACACAAAACAACCATAGTAGTTAACCGGATATTAAGAAAAAAATCACATCTGTTTTCGAGTTCTCTTCCATCCGCAAATTCAGGAACATCAATTCCAAGAACCTGGTTTTATGGCATGCCCTTAAGCCAACAACACCAGGTTACAATCAAGGCAAGGAAGGTAAGGCGTCCTATAAGTTGATTCTTACTACAATGTCTTGCCCCCAGGATCCTCTTTCTTTAATTCAAAAGCAGTCAGTATAATTAGATTTTCTATTGCCTTAAAAGAAACACAGTCATTACTAGTTGCACATTAATAATTATGCTATTCTGATGAACTGGACAGGTTTATGAAAAGAGGAAGAAAGGAAACAAATTTCCATGCTGTTTATTGGTGGTACCCTAAGTAACAATGAGGTCTGGTGGCTTTTCATTATTTAAAGAATTTGAGTCTTGCAGAGAATTTGATTTTTCTAATTTAAATTCTTTTTAAAACTCCAACTTGTCTTAGGATATACATCTTAAATAAGCAATTTGTAATAACTTAACCAGCTAGAAAACAAGTACAACTTCTCGAACACATATCTCTGGACATCAAAGAAAGCTCTTCCCTCTATAGTAAGAATAATAAAGTGCAACTAAAAATAACAGTCATCAACTGTGGTTTTAAAGGCAATATTTCAACATAATCAAATGTGTCAACTATTCATTCTTACAGCTTCTTATGCTATGGGTCATAAGTAAGTTTCATTTCTGGGGAATGATTGAATATAACCCACTTGGGGCTCTGCCATCTGTGAATTACTTACATGTGAACACTCTGTTTAAGAGATGGAAATTTTGATTGTCCCCCCCCCCTTTGGATATTGAAATCAAATGCAATTGAAGAGAGCATTTTAAGCAATTATTTTTCATATTAGTTGCTCCATGGATACATTAGCACACATTCCCCACATTCATCATCACTTTTCAAATCACAAGGATCAAGTCTGGTGTCGCTGAAGTCGTGGAGGAAGCATTGAGGGGATTTATGAAATCTGAGAGATGGGAAAGAATCTACAGTCTCCCTCTCTGGACCCCCTGGCTCAGGCCTTTGCTACAAAGAACCTCCCTGCAGCGCGCTCCGATGTGAGACCGTGGCCGAGTCCCCGTGGCTTCCTTGAAGGACGACTCCTCTATCACCGAGCAAACAATAAATGTGACTGTAGGGCTACAATGCAGGGTGCCACATAATTTATCATCCACACTTGAACACCTCTGAGAGTTAGCGGGGACACCATTAACAATTATGCCAGAACAACAGGCATGGACTAGGACTGCCCCAGGCAAACCTAATCATATTGTTACCCCAGAGATGAGGTGCAACTCAGAGGACTTCTCCCAAGGGTCTCGAACCATTTCATTAATGCTATATCCAATTTTACTCTGGTCTAGAGCTACTTTGTCCGATAAAAATAGAACATGATCCACAGATATAATTTTAAATTTTCTAGTAGAAATGGTTTTTGAAGAACATAAAAACAGGTGAAAATCATTTTAGTGATATATCTTATTCAACCCAATACACCAAACATAGAGTCATTTCAATAAGCAGTCAATATAAAAATGATTAACGAGATAGTTTACCTTAGTTTTCAAATGGCAATCTTTGAAATCAAGTGTGCATACTACACTTAAAATATATTTTTAGTGCCCAACAGGTACCAGTGGCTATGACACTGGACAACACAGTCCTAAACAGTCCATACGTGTGCATATGCACGGGTAAGTAAATGCGTTTATGATCCACACATGCACACACATGTATTTTTCTTCTAAGTAATAACAGACACACCTCAAATGTCTTGACTTACTCACTTTGCCTACCCTACAGCACAGGGCAGTGAAACTGTCCACCTGTGGAGCAGCCCCTGGAGCAGATACACCTTTACCTGGTACATTCCTTTGCAGACCAGAAAGAATGGTCGGATTGGAAAAGCTGGGTATTGCTGAGAACTTCTATGACTGCCCTGATTAATGTGCGTTTTGCATTCCTAAATTCAACACCTAAACGCTGAGCACCCTCCATGTACTTCAAACTAGAAATAGAGATAAAATGGGCACAATGCCTGTATATTGGACCACTTGTGTTTAACGTTTCCATGGAGATTATTTCACAACTGAAGCGAGAGAAGCGTATTCTGTGGCAAGGCAAGGGCAGGACTCTATTCTCTAGGGCTCAAGTCTACACTTTATCATCCACAGACAACACTGTCAGGAAAAGAGAAAACATGTTTTCCTTTTGCTGTTGATACATGTGGTCTCGGCCATGTTTGATCACTTGCATATTGGTAGGTAAGAGCATTTGTGGTGTCAGCATTTCTTCTTGAATCAGGATCTGTATCATTGTTAATAACAATATCTCTCTCACTCCAAATACCCACTTAGAGCTCATTGAGATCATATTTTGGTAAGGATACAGAACCTATCAGATAGAGAGAAGCCCTCATTTCCTCTAGGAAAAGTGAAAGTGATGAATTTTCAGTTGGTCAAAACACAGAGTTGCAGGAGACGAAAATGTGGAAGTAATTGGCAGGTATTCTGCAAGTAAGTGATGGTAACACAATCAGATACACTCTCATTTTAGGGCATACTGACATAAATATAAGCAGTAAATTGTAGTTTTTCTCTTTTATGTAATTATTCTCTCATTTATATAGTTCTTTTTCCCTCTAATCCAATATATTTAGGCTTAACACAGTCTCAATTAGTGCGTGTTAAATACACACACACACAAACACACATCATACCACATACTGTTTCTGTTTACACTAATCATTACAGTAGAATGCATACACCTCATCTTTATTAAAGTCATTTTCCATTAAATATACTTCCTTAGAAGGATGGAGAGTAAGAAATACTTTCAAGATACTTGCTTCCTTGTTCACACACACACACAAGCCAAAATATTGCCTCTAACCTACCAGTAACTTACCAATGATTTGATATAGTGACTCCCACCTAAAACACATCGACACAGGTTCCTGAGAAGAATATTTGATATGAACCTGGAAGAACCCATTTAGCTCACTCAGCATCCCTCTATGCCTGTAAAACCCTTATATGCCTTCTCCACAACATCCTTATAAGGGTTACAGACAGAGACTCGCAGTGGGGAAGAGCCTTGCTTCTGGAGACGTGTTAACATGATTACATTCTGAAGAGCACGTATTGCAACGATGTGCAGCCATTAGCCAGAATCCCACTCAGGCCATTTCGAAGGGTGAACCGCAGCACAGTTCTTCAAAGCAACTCGCGATTTAGCAGAAAGACCCCACAATCCCAAATGGAAGGAGGACTTTTTCTCTTTAGGAAACTGTTCTCCATTTAATTTAGTAGTTTATAAGTATAGCATATACATATATCTGGTTATAAGTACTTTGGGCGTGTAATTTTATTTTTCTTTCATTTCAAGAAAACCCGGTTCCGGCACCGCATGTTCTCAAGATTGGTTATCTCGAAACTGTGCTGCCATTCATCATGTTAGGACTCCAAAAGCATTTCATCGACACCCTGAATATTTCCATTACATCCTTGGACATTACAAAGCAGGGGGATGATGGAATTCAACAGTGTAGTGCACTGGTCAAGAGCATGGACTTTGAAGCCAAACCACCAGGGTTCAATTCTTGGCTCTGCCGCTAGCCAGTTGCTACCTTAGACATGTTACTAAACCTTCCTCTGCCTCAATTTTATCATCAGTAAAATGAAGACAAAAACGCGTTCTTTCTTTGATGTTTATAGGATGTTTGCTAGTTTATAGGACTTCATGCAAAGCACGTAAAAGACTACTGGGCGCACAATCAGTGCTCTATAAATAAAGGTCTTCATTGTAACTGTGAACTAGTAATAGCTCATACTAGCTAGTATTAAAACTGCTACTATACATCCTATCAACAGATCTGCAATTGTCTACTTACTTCAGACTGCAGATCTATCTATGGGTAAGGCACTTTGATCTTTCATTAGAAACGCAAACGGCAGGATGCCTACCAGAAGAGCAGGTTTCAGACTCTGGCCACTGGGGTGTGACGCAGTTGGCGGGGCATCAGCAGGTGGGCCTGGCGCTGGGTCACTGCTTCTCCTCACCAGCAGCGGAGTGCCTGTAGGACAAAATAAGAGGTGAGAGGTCAAGAGAACCCTGGGGGGAAGAGAGTGCATGGTACAATGCAATTTAATTAAAAAGGTTTACAAGGTGCTTTTATGTAAAAACATTCTATTTCTCAAGAATGCTTGTCAATTAATCCATTTAATGATCTTTTGTCATCTATTCATAGAATGACACATGGAAACAAAATCTTTCAACTCTCTCCTTTCTTTCTCCACTTGCATTTCCAAACAAGCCAGAAGTGTGAGGCGATGCCAACGCTGACAGTGTGCGATCGAAAACTGATCTGGAAAATATTTCAGAGTATTAAAGAAATGGCGATCCGGCAAACCAGTGAAGAGGTTCACACAGTCAGTGCTATTTGCTATTTGGTGGAGCTAGAAGTATGAGTATTATTGCCCTTGGGTGCCTCCCAAATCGTTCGGATGGTGATATATACAGAAATAAATTATTTGCTGGGGTTACAGCATTAATGTCTGTACACAAAGGGATCGGTTCCAGTCTCTTCCTTTTCTCCTAAAGCAGATATAACTGATAAGGAAAATAAGTTACTTCTTCTAAAAATACATCCAGATTTCTTTTTAATTTAATGAAAGCATCCACTATTAAATATTTGAGTCAGTTATTCAATTCTGAAAAAAAAAAGATCATACTATTATAGAAAGTTCAAATGAAATTCAACCTCCGCAGAACCAGCTGCCTAACTATTCTGCTTGCAATTAGGCCTAAAATAATTTGTTTCATACAAAATTGGCCACTCTAGAGGAAACTCTCAAAAAAAAATCCATTTGTGGTTTTAACTTGCTCTCATAAAAATTAACTTTTTATTTGTGTCCTTTTGGGGGAAAAAAGTGGAAAACAGTAGAAATGCAATTCCCCATTAATCAATATTCTGAAACGAATTCCCCAACTCTCTTGAGCTACTGATGTTTAAAATAACATTCACATTTTTCATACTTGATTGTATAAGATACCGTTATAAAAATGTAAATCTATTTGGAATTATTTACAAACCTTTATGTTCCAACGTTCTTATTCTGTGTACGAAACATAGAATTGCCAATACTTTCATACTTGCTCAGATTTAAGTTGCTTTTTGATAAAATAACTTAATTTGTAATAAGGAATCATCATGCTACTTAGGTGGAAACACTATGCCAAAAGGGATTAGAAATTCTAAGTTCACATTTGCTCATTAATTTCTTATTAAAAGACATTTCACTGCATTATTCCCCACCCTCTCCACCTCCACCGAAACGTGTCTCGAGCACGTGGCACAGCGGTGGCGGTACGGTTGGCAGCTGGTCTCCAGGGAGTCGGTTAAAGACAAGGGGAGGTAATGCGAAGAACCACGAACCTGAGGGCGGGATCGCAGCCCCGCACCCCTGCCTCCAGGTAAGCTGGAGACGGACTGCTTCTCAGGTGAGGGCTCTGAATTACCTGAACAGGGAGTGAACAGGTCTGTCTACATGTCACATTCACAGAAGTAACCCGTTATCTTTAAAATGAAGAAGAAAGTGAGGCGAACTCCATGAAACTCTGCTTTGTTTCTAACATTTAAAACAGACCCTTGTACCACATGTCACATTGGAGAAAAACAAGTAAAATATAACTAACAAATAAAAAGCAAGTAAAACCACGAGGATACACCAAGGTCTCCAAAAATACATGGTTTATTTACTTATTTATTTTAATATGTTTTTATTGATTTTTTTAGAGAGAGAGGAAGGGAGAGATAGAAACATTTATGTGAGAGAGATACATTGATCGGCCGCCGCCTGCACATCCTCCACTGGAGATCCAGCCCACAACCCAGGCACGTGCCCTGACCGGGAATCAAACCAGGACCCCTCAGTCCATGGGACGACGCTCAATCCACTGAGCCCCAACCACTGGGCTAGAAAGTCTTAAACAACCCTTCCTTTGGCCATTTACAACTTACATTTTAAATTGCCAAAGCCCCATTAGAAGGTGGCTGCAAGGAGCAGACGGAATTCCTGACTTAAAGACAACTTAAAGACACAGAAGGTATGGTCTAATATATAACAGAAGGCAAGTAATTAAAAGTATTGATGATGATTTGGACCAATCCTTGGGTATATTTAATAGGGTAAAAGGCACACCTCACAAGCAAGCCTTAATAAAATGAGAAGGAAACAACTAATCTGGTTTTATGGGACCTCCTGGGGGGAAGAGGAGGAAAGTAAATAAAACATGACCCCTGCACGGAAGGAGCTTATAGCTAACAGTAAGATTAGACAACTAACTCGGAACTACGATGGACGGCACAGTGGAGAGGACCATGGGTTTTGGGGTTGAGTTGACTGAGCTTCACCTTCCCTGGCTCTTTGACATTGAACTGCTCAGTGACACAGTCTCATCACTGAGAACCTGGCAGTAACAATGCACCACAGAATGGATGGGAGGCTGAAATAAAATGAGGCATGCACGACACTGTCTAGTGCGTAGTTTTCACACAGAAAATCCCCCTAATAGAAAGGAGGTAACAATACTTGCTATTGTTGTGAACAGTGTTATCTGCTCAAAAAGCTGAACTGCTAAAAGTCAAGTTAATTCTGATGGAATAATACGCAAATTAAAATAGTAGAGCATAATTATTTGCTTAACCAGGTGTTGCCTTATTATAGAAATCAAAGCTGTTTAGAAAAAAAAAAAATGATGGTGTGAAAAATAGTTCAAAATTGAAAAAGAAAGCAGGCTGCTCTTCGGTATTTTTCAGCGAGTTGAGAAAAGACTTTCAGATACCAGAGGCAGAAGTCCTCAGTTCAGCTCAAGACAACAGTAGTATTCTCAGAATCATACTTGAGAAGCCAGTGGCTGTAGAGCCCAAATAGAATTTTAAAATGTTATGCATTTTAAAGAATCAAGTCTTATACAAATAACTGCATTATATTTTTCCACACAGTTAAATATCTGAGGCCTGGTGATATACCAAGAACTCTACAAGGAGAAGGTGGATTAAAATGAGTAGTCTTGCTGCTTACTCTAGGTTATCTATTAAAGAAGGTGTGGCCCGGGCAGTGTGGCTCAGTGGATTGAGTGTCGTCCCATGGACTGAGGGGTCTGGTTTGATTCCTGCTCAGGGCACATGCCTGGGTTGCAGGCTCGATCCCCAGTAGGGGGCGTGCAGGAGGCAGCAATCGATGTTTCTCTCTCACATTGATGTTTCTATCTCTTTCTCCCTTCCTCTTTCTCTAAAAAAATCAATAAAAACATATTTAAAAAATCAAAAAGAAAAAGGAAGGATGTGTGGGGACAAAGAACATTTAGTACATTTAGCAAGTGCAGTGTTCTGGGAGGTTGGTATATGGTTTATTGAACCCACACCAATGAACACACACCGTGGACTGGACTCAGTCCCATTTAATTTATCTGGTTGCACAGAAGCTTAATGGAAGCCAGAGAGAAGCTGTGTCCCTCCAAGCACAGGCGTTCCTGATTAGGTGTGTAGCTGTTGGACTCTGTCCTTGCAAGATAGGGTCTTCCCTCGTCAGAAAAGTTCAGTTCTTTCTGGGGCACTGCCCATGCACCCTCAGAACTTACATTATACTCAGGAGACACTTACTCACACGCTCACTCTTCTCCCCTTTGAGGAGATGGCTACATGCATCAGTCCCCCCAAGCCTCGAGCCGGCTAGCACTGGACTCAGTTCCCAGGTGTCTATGAATTAAGGCAGTCACCATTTTAATGATAGTAAAACTAGAATTAAGAGGGGTACAGTTTCTTATCCAGTGTCCCCTACAAATGGAACTTAGAGAGCCCATCGGAAGGTCACCTGATCCATTTTAAGGAATTTTGAAAGGGGCAGCAACTAGTCAAAAGTTTCAAACTGGTACATCAATGAATCACATATGCTAGAAAGGCCAACATAACTTTATCTATATAAATATAAGTTTTTGTCTCTTTACTATAAAATCACACCCCCCCCCCCCACTCGACGAGTAGAGGATGTGTTTGGGATGGAGTTGGTTTAAATGACAAATGATGTGCTGGACATTTGGAAGATGTCTCAAAAAGACAGGCAGTTATACAGACTGAAACCAAGATCCAGAAGAATCACCATGTGATGCTGCAGATAAAGCGACTTTAAACACAGGCCTCTTATCAAACATCACAAAGGCACATGTTCTAGGTTATAGAGAGAGTAAGAGCAGGGATTGAAAGAGCTAGTTATCCTCCTGAGCAAATGCGGAAGGCCAGCTTGGCATCAATATTGGTGCTCCTTCATTCCAGGGTGACAGGTACCTGGAGAGCTCTAGGGGGGCCCCAGTTATTGGGCCGACAAAGTGTCTATAAGAAGTAAGAGGCCTCAAGCAAAGAGAGACTAGAAAGTCATTGGAAGGAAAGGGATAGGGACCCAGCAGTCACAGGCAGAGATGCAATAATAAACCAGAAGACAGTGTGGGAGGAATGAGCAATGACTACACATACAAAACAAATGAAAAGGGGCACAGAGCAGACACCTAAAGCTGTCCTTAGAGATCGTGCTTGGGGAAGAGCAAGCAATAGGAAAGTTTAGCAAGTGTTAAGATTTGTTTCAGAAGAAACCGCAAACCTTGACTTTTGCCCACTGAGGGTCAAAAACACATGAGAAGTCAGACTCGAAGTTTTCACCCGGCCGTTCATAGAGACGAGTACGAAGCTCACGCTGGAAATCCCTGGCATCCAGGATAAGTGAGGAGACACAAACACGAGGAAACAAAGGAAAAGAAAAGAGGAAGGATCAGTACAATTCTGTCGATAGTATCACATGACACAATGAGAAAACAGGATTCTGTGTTCTCACAGCATCTGCAGAAAGAAAGGGTATTTAGGATGACAGTGGTGAACACAGCCATAGAGGTGGGCTTAGGGAAAGGGGGGGGAGGGGTGGGAGAAAGAAACTGGAGTTGACATGATAAACTGTTGATGTACAAAGAATGGTAAATCCTAGTCTTTTTAGAGTTTCAATTTCCCTTTGTTCTAAGAGATTA